AAACGCACCTGACTTCCTTGTATTCAAGATGACACAGAATAAACACTGATCAAGATAAACAAAATCTGTGAACGTAGCGTTCTTTAGTATGTTATCAGCTATCAGAAAAGTCCAAGAAAACTTAATTTTGACTCACAGAAAGCTAGTTATCACCAAAATCCGGTTTCTAATCTAACAGACCTCGTACTTACTCTGAGCAAAATTTTTGAACGCGAACTGGACTTTTACATAAAAACGTAATTAAGCTCCACAGTTTTACGAAGTTAAGTGCACCATGATCGCGTAAAGTGTACAATGACAAAAAAAATGTGAGCAACATTAACAAACAAAAACTGAGAAAAATAGAATCGTTTCCCGCCGCATGAAATGCTGGATCTACCCGTAAACCAAAGCAGGATCTCACCATCATAGCATGTTACAATTGGACGTATTTATGCTAAAAGGAACTATAAGCATAGGGTTTGAGTGTAACATGGTTCCTTTTAGCATAAATAGTCCAATTTTAAGTCCAGAGTCGTAAAAATCTCCGGAAAGAGCGTCCGCTACGCACAGTGCGATGAACGCTTACCCTAGTAGCAGAACCACAGAAGGAAAAGATAAATAGGTATTATGTACGAAATTTAATTTTTTTTATATAATGTATGCATACAAAAGTGTTAAAAGTGAACATTTTTATGTAACCATTATACAAAAAAATGTTATAATTTTCGTGAGCTTTTCGCGAACATACTAAAAATCCTTCTAATTCGTGCAAAGCTCACGAAAATGATGACCTATTTTTTATATAATCGTTACATAAAAATGTTCACTTTTAACACTTTCGTATGCATGCGTTACATAAGAAAATAAAAAAAAGTGTGTATAAAAAAAAATTACCTTATCTAGCTTTTATCATTTTTCATATATTACGGTCAGGTCTGAACTTTGATTTTTTTTTTATATAAGCGTTACACGTTTTTTTATATAAAACGATCATTTAGATAACAGATATGTTTTTTTTATACTTTTTTTAGAAAAACAAAAATTAGTTCTGCTACCAGGGTACTTCTAAATTCAGCTAGCAGACTGTGGAGAGTTTAGTTGAAACATTCGCAGGCGCATCTCTGTGTCCCGCAACTTTTTTTCGTTTTCACCGTCATTTATCACGGCGGAACTAAATGCGTTTTAACTTGGAGGCTCCGCACCGTAGGGACAAAAATTTGTTTTCATGAACGTGTATAGTTTCCCGAGTTGAGTTGGCGTTTCATAATCACCCGAGTGGTCTCGGGATCCCAGGTGGCATTGTCCTCCGACTTCGACTCGTCCGAGTCCACCGCTCCCTCCCAGTGGCGTGGCGTGCTTTATGCGATATATCGATTGATCTGCCATTTAAATCTATGGAAAAGGATCGATTATCAAGGTGTTCGCAACCAACACCTTGATAATCGATTCTTTACTACAGCTTTAAATGGAGAAATATCGATAATCGATACTTCACGCCACGCCATTGCTCCCTCCGCTTTTGACACGGTTATCAGATTTTCAAGTCCTCCATATTTTCAGAGAGTCCGACTCATCACGAACTTGGGACATTTCCGGATCGGCGTGTCTTAATTCGTCACCTTCCAGGAAAAGTATCACAAGCGCCATGCGACGTTTAAAAATTTCCGCCGCCATTTTATTTCTTTACTGAGAAATTGTTGGTTGAATCTGTTTGGAAATTTCACTAAATTTTATCGGCAGCACAAAGAAAATTCAGTGAAATTTTCGGACAGCTTCGTTGAACAATTTCTCTGTAAAAAATAAAATGGCGGCGGAAATTTTTGAACGTCGCATGGCGCTTGTTATACTTTGCCTGGAAGGTGACGAATTCAGCAATGGACCACTAGACAAGGTACGAATTTAAGCGATCTGATAAATGTTTCTTGACCAGAATTTCACGTAGAACACGATTAGCGCAATGGATATTACTGAAACTAACTCCTAACGAAGATATCAACGTTTTTATGTCACATTGGGTACGAGGAATTTGAACTGCCCGCTCACAAGAAACTCAAAGCTCTACGTGAGTCAAATCGCGCACTACAACGGTTTCAGCAAGCTTCTCAATTGAGCGATGTTCATTTCCCACCATGTGTTGTTCAAACTATGAGCAATTTGCTATAGCTGAGCCAAAGCGTCAAAATTGAGGTTGCCACATTTTTAAATCGCAGATACTGTCATGATAACCTTTAGCACGCGATGTGAATCATGTAGAGTATTGAGTTTTCATGAGCGGGTGGTTTGAATTTACGCATCAAGAATCATTAAATATCTTCGTAAGGAGTTGATTTCGGTATTTTTCGTTGTGCGCATCGTGTTTTACGTGAAATTTTGGTGAAGAAACATGAATCAGAATGCTGAAATTCGTACCTTGTCTAGTGCTCCATTTAATCGATTTCAATTTGTTCATATCCATGGTTGATGAATAATGCACTTTTGACTTCATTTTTAGATTTTGAAAGAATTTTTGGTACAAAAATTCCTTGATCATATATGTAGGGATTTTCATTTATCCCTGAAATCAAAGTTCACGAAAAACTAAATTGCTGATTTAACAATGCAATCGCTAAGAAAAGTGACTGCAATGTTTCAATGTAGATTTTACAACAAAAAATGCTACTATAACCACCCCCGTGGTTATAGTAGCTTACAATGGTGGTTCAAGTAGCATTTTTTTTGTTGTGAAATCTACGTTGAAATATTACGGCCACTTTTTTTAGCAATATAATTTTTTCCATGTTCGACAAAACCGAACTCGTTTGTATGATATTGAATTGAGTTTGGCTCTGTACACACAAACGAAGTATTCAGTCTGCGCTACCGGACTAATTGCTTTGCGCAACCGGAATATTAGTCAAGATCAGCATATCCCTACAGTTCAGCTCAGCGGACTGAATAGTGCGATTGAACGGACCAAAAATTTGAATTTGAGTACCGAATAAAATTCGGTTAAATATCATCCTGGCAATAAATTTGCTTTTATCAAACGTTTAATTCTGTGATAAATGTTAGGCCCAAACTTGTTTATACAGTGAAAGCTCACTCAGTCGAATTGTGTTGGGACCTACGAAAAATTCGACTAATGCGGCAAGTCGTCTCAACCAATTCTCCACTTCACATATGGACGTGTCAAGGGATCGAAAAAGAAATTAGTCCTAATTGACATTTCATCTTAACCGTAGTTCGACTTAGGGAGCTTTCACTGTATAATTAATCTATCGATTTCCTCGAACCTAGTTTCCAATGAAAGGTATAGTCAAATAATTAGTGCGAAATAGCCACGCAATTTGCGTGATGTGTGCATCGCGTCGTTTCCGTTGCCGCTGCCGCGCGCTTGAAGAAATCCAAGGTGCCTTCAATTTTTGCGTCTGCAACAAGGACAGCGTTAGAGCACGAATAGTTGTATTCAAGCGTTCCGCAGGCGTTCAGGCGTGCCATCATCGATGTGTTGCGTCGCACCGTGGATATTATCACTCAATGGCCAATAGCTGCACGTGCCTTGTCCCATTTTTCACCACTAGCAACAAACGATTTATTTTTTCCTTTTAAAACAGAAAACACATGGAATGATAAACATCGACGATTTCAAACTGATACTACGTTAATGTTCTCTCCGGAAAATTAACTTACTCAAATATTAAAAGTATAATGAGTTAGTTTTAACATTCGAATTCAAAATGAATGCTCTCTTTGTAAAATTTTCTACTATATTTACTTGTACTAAGGTGGAGAAATGGCACTGGGTCCACACCATTTCGCAGGGAAAACGAAGCCAATAAATTCCAAAAATTCACTTGTACTTTCTCTTGGAGAATTCGAAGATTTAGCTGTGGTTAAATTGATCGCAAAAAAGAGGACGTTCTGTAACAATATTTTAAAATATACGATAGTGTACATTGATGAATTAAAACTCATGAGTACTGCTGCAAAAGCGGAATTATACAATTGCGGTCCAAATGCCGCGGCGTGGCGTGCCCTTTGCCCAGTTATGTGACCCGTGGAGGCGCGCCCAGTTGAGTGACCCGAGAAGGCGCGCCCACCGAGGGGTTAACAATGATAACATAATCACTATCTATAATTCAGTTATATTCTCGCCTAAAAGAAACAGTTAGTTTTAAGTCGATTGCCGGAGGTAAACTAATACCTCTATGGCCATCGTTTCAATGCATGGCTTTTCGCACTATGTTGGCCGTCTGTAGCACAAGTCGATGGTGAAAGTGCAAAAATGCGTACCTCGGAAAACACGATTTTCCAGGACAGTAAAAAAAACTGTCTACATTCCTCGTGATTGTTAGTGGAAGGGTGATAATTCTTGAGGAAAGCAAGAATAAGATGCTTTTTCAGACTCCATCAGCATTTTGAATACTTTCTCGAACTGTTAGAAAATACGGCAGAAATGCCAAGATTTGCGTTCTCAAGAGCATTGCAATGTCGCTAACCTTGCAAACATAAACGATCATCTAAACTAGTTTCACCTATACTCCCAATAAACTATAAGTTCAAGACGAAAATTACCGTCGCAAAGTTTACTTTTTGCAAAGAATGTACCTAAGTTGCACAATCCCAGCAACATTGAAATGCTCTTAGTTCCTTTTTGCAAAATGCGATCCAATTGGTTGTTGCTGCAAAAAAATAGTTTCCCACAACCGGCTATACAATGCTCCAGTGACCATGTAAGTTGGCCCGAGCACTAACTTTTCGGGAAGAAAGCCTTTCCCCTACCTGGTTTCTCACTTAATATCCGCCCGAGTTTCCCGAACATTTCTAGTCAACATCGCTGTACACGGTCATTCACATCAATACACAACAGCGCCTTCAACCCACTATATAGTCTTAATGCGAAATTCTGATACCACTATCCGTGCGTCACGACAGTCATTTTGCATAGCCGGCCAATTGAAGGCAAATCTTTGACCCAGGCAACAGGGTACAAATTTCAGCCATGCTATGCGTGTTTTTAGGTAACAAAACCTCCGAGGATGCCCGACCTGGCATCCAATGAGCCGAATGGCCGAAAATGTGCTGTCTGTAACGTGGTGAAAAGTCAGCGTAACAGCCAGCACATTTTCGAACATTTATATATTAGAATTGAAAATTAGAGCAATGAATTATTAGAAAGCGTTATAATACGTAACCCTACGAAAATTAATGCGAAAAAATTCGAGTGATTATCATTCCTACTAAAATATGAACGATAAATGTGTTATCTGTTACGGCGACAAAACTATTCCAGCGGGCCGATTATTGGAACTGATAGACAAAGCTATAGACAAAGAAGACATAGGGAGTATGGAGCGATCCTATTAGGCCTTGTCTCCACGGGACGTTTTCATGGGATTTGTCCCAAGTTCGAATCACAGGAATGAAATTTCTGGGATTTTTCCCAGTTACCGTCTCCACGGGACGGGGCTCATACAGTCCTGCGACTAGTTTTCGCGGGAAGATAAATTGGTTAAAGTCGAGTGTTTAACCGGGATTAAAATAATAATTGCACTCAATTGACAATTAGACACATTATTTTAACTAAACAAACATTAACAATGTAGTAATGAATAAAATATCGCACAATTCGTTTTCACTTCTTCTTCTTCTCTCAGTGGGTCCTAGGGGTACAAGTACCATACTTGGTACTGAAAAAAATATTGATTAACTCAATATTTTTCCCAACTTCGTAAGTGGGATTTTCCCTGGGACAAATCTCGTGAAACGGCTCGTGGAGACAAGGCCTTTGTAGACATGGTTGGTTCCTATAGACTAAGGAAGAAAATGATGGACTAACTGTCGGGTCTTTGGTGGGTTGCCGTTACTCAGTCCATTACCTACCTCCCATGTCCATTGCCACCACCCGCTTCCACCAATAGGATCCCTCCAAATCCCTTTTGTCGTCTTTGCCTATAGCTTTGTCTATCAGTTTCAATAATCGGTCCGCAGTTATCGTGAAACCGCCCTTTGGTAGACAAGACACCCCGTTTTTGTTATTATATCTTAGCTTAGCCGGAAGTGAGCGCTAATAGAGTGTCCTCTTGTTTTGTTGCAGGCTATGGGAACGTGACACCGCGAACGACTCTGGGCAAAGGCTTCGCCATGGGCTACGCAGCCCTGGGGATCCCGCTGATGCTCATCTACCTGACCAGCGTGGGCAGCGTCCTGGCCTGGTGCGCCCGGAGCGTCTTCTCCCGCTCTCTCTGCTGCTGCCTCTGCTCGAAGTGCGGCTACTGCTGCTACGACGAGAAGCTGATGCAGGAGAAAGAGCGGCGCATGCGCATCAAACGGGAACAGCGCGAACTCGGGCGCCTGGCGCACAACCAGCGACACCAGGAACCCTACTACGTCCGCTCACCCTCCTCGACCTTCACCTCGGCCTCCGGGCTGGACAAACACTCGATCGAAGAAACCTCGAGCAAGATCGAGCACCGCCACTTCATAGCGCCCCTCTTGCTCTGTCTCATCTGCATGGTTGTCTACATCGTCGCCGGCGGCGTCGTCCTGTGTCGTCTACTCGACAAGCAGCTCAACTACCTCAACAGCATCTACTTCTGCTTCATGCTCCTCACGACCATCGGCTACGTGGAGAATGCCTTCTCGGAGAACCACTTGCTGTCGCTCAAGTACGAACCCGGCAGGAGTCGGCATGCGAATAACCTGGCCGTCTGGTTCTGCTCTTTTTATATCATCTTCGGCATGGCGCTCACCGCCATGTGCTTCAGCATCATACACGAGGAGGTCATCACCAGGCTCAAGCAGCACTATCGGAGCCTCCTCGCCGAGCCGAAAGCCGAGTCTAAAGACGGGTCCTTGATGACCAAGTTAGCTAGCGGTAGCAGTAGTAATATTATCGATGGGAACGAGCGGGGTTTGTTGCAATACACGATGCCCAACTCCTGACAGCAGCTCAACAACCACGTGGCGGACAGTCTCGACGGGAACGGGTTGAACTTGCCGTTCGTCCACGATACGAGCTTCATCCAGACTCCGGAGATCGTGGCCATCACCACCAAGAACCCCACCGACTCCATCATCAACAGTATCAAGTTCCAAGGGGTTGGGGTCGGGGTGGGGGTGGTGCAGCCCCCTTCGCTGGAGCCGCAGCCCGACTTCGATGAGGTTCTCGAGGAGCCGTTGGGTACTATGAGTGTCCTCCACGAGGTCGATGAGACCCTCGACGATTGATGTCCAGCTATGTTGCGGATCCACGCCTTCACTTCCATTTTTCTACGTTTTCTAATTCCACTATTTTTCCTACTTGACGTTCCGAGTTAAAAAACAAGTCAATTACCATTTTGATTGTATCTGAAAGAAGTGATCCGAGTCACAAGGACATATTTCTGATGAAAGGAACCGGAGACGCGTGAGAAAGAAGGTGTGTGCTTGTTAGTCGAGGGCAGTAAAAATGAATGGGAATTATAAAGCGCCAGTGACGTCAGCGGCGACGACGGACGGGAGCGACGGTAATGGCGTCTTAAACTCATGAGCCCTGTCCACAACGCCCTTTTGTCATGCTCACGGCTCACGAGTGCCGCATACAGTGGCGCCTATACCTAGTTCCGTTTGGTAAAATAATGTAAAATCCCGCTTTTCCATTTCCCCAAACCCAAGTAGCACAGATTGCAATAAATAGCAAGTACATAGTAAAAATATTGCAATTCAACCGAGTGATGTGTATGTTGCCTAGCTCCTATTTGAAGGGGCCCCATTTATTGACACTTGTGGCAATAAAATCGAAATAAGTTGCATTATTCATTGCATTGCATATTGCCTATCTTTCTGACACATGGAGCTCATTTTGTTGATTGTTTAAAATCGGCATAAATCGACTAAATGATGTAAAAATGAACGGTAAAAGAACACTCACTTTAACGGTAAAAGAATTACAATTGTATTAAAATTAAATTGCAATCTAATATCAATATTTTTGTTGCATTGTGCTACTTGGGAAGAGACTCACGTCTACTTTGTCATTGTTTCTTATCCAGCTTTCTATAGCACACACCATCTTTCCCATTCGTCTATTGTTCCGTTTAGCAGAAATGCGTCCACATGAAGATCAGACTTAGAAAAATAAGTAGATTCGAAGTTGTATTGCTCCATACGACTTAATTCCCCTGTTAGCACAAATTGCAGTTACCTAATTGCTGTCACGTGGTAAAATTATTGCTCTTGTGCGGGAAGTATAGGATATGTTGTCTATTTACTGATTGAATGGGCTCCTCTTAATCAAATATATTGCAATAATTTGAAATAAAGTTGCAATTTTTTTTTACATTGCATTGCATTGCAAATTGCCTAATGGAACTCATGTTTATTGTTCGTTTAAAAAATGCATTTATTGACCAAGTGATGTACGTAAAAAGATTGCAATTTTATTGCATTGAAATTGCAAAATTATTTCAATATTTTTGTTGCTCTGTGCTATGATTGGGTGTAAGGGAAATGGTTCAACGCCTATTTTCACCTTCAAGCTATGATATTTTCTCAACTTTGAACTTTTGGAAGAAAACATGTGTGATTAGTTAGGCTCACATAGGTACTCCTATCTACATCAAGTGTTTTTTTGCCTAAAATGTGACTGGTATCCATTTTATGTAGGCCGTTTCGATTGCATTTTGCAAAAAGGATCTGGCATCTGGCACAAACATAGCACGAAAAACTCGTACAAAAAGTAGTGTTCATTTGTTTTAGATAGGTACCCATGAATGATACATATAATGATTCATTTAAGTGCTATAGGTGTTCTTTTCATGAATTTCATTCGATATCCTTAATAAAAAATAATGTTTCAGAGGTTGAATTCAATCGGCTCGTGCGAAAACGTCGTCCAATGGGGGAAGGGTGGGGTCTTGAACTTTTGAAATTGCAGCTTGAAGTAATTCATGAGCGGTATCTGAAATTAGACAAGTTTGGCGAATTGGCCCTCATGCCTTGGGAAGACAATTAGAAAGGATTGATCATTTATTTTATTATGTTCACCACGTAAAATCCAATGAAATGAAAAGATCGCCCTGCCTAAATATAGTTTACTGTTCTGCTTTTAGTTACTTCATCGAAAAAAAATTGCAAAACCCTTAGTAACTTTGCAAAGCTGTTAGTTCCTTTTTACAAAATGCAGTCCATTTTATCGTGAGGATCTCCAGTCTCAGTGCTTGCTTTTCATTATTAGATCAGAAATATTTAATTTCTGGTATCTCTCTCCTTGGATATTGGCACGTGTCTGACTCTGTTTATATATTTTTATCTATTGATGAAGGATATAACTACTGGTTATTATAAATAAAGTTAACAAAAGTTAATTAAGTCAAATAAAGTTAATAAAGTTATGTATGGAAAAGAAGACTTAGGTATTGGAATTTTTAATAATTGTTCTTTTATACTCTTGACATAGAAAATGAAAAACATTCTAAAAGTGTTAAAATGCATCAAATCATTCTTTCAGCAGGGCCGGATTTTCCTACTTGCCGCCCATTGGCCGCCTGTATTTTGCCGCCCCCTTCTCATTCGTTTTGAAACATCAATAAAAACCATCAAGTGACCGTGCCAGCGGGGGAGGGGTGCATAAGACGCGTTTACTCGTGTTGAACACATTTTTTGGGAAAGCCCTGTCAACACTACTAGCAAAAGGTCACGGAACTTTGCGCGAAAGTCAAGTTTCGTAAACCTATCTCTAATAAACAAGGCCTTCCATTCATAAGAAATGAACGAAAAAATTATGAAAGAACAAACACAGAATTTGGTTTAATGATTTTAACTTCCACCGCCGCGCCGCCCCGACCGTACCGTGTTTGGCGCAATGCGTGAAGTATTCACGCAGTCTTGTAGGCGCTATGCGTTTCGCGCTGACCGCACGGTGTTTGGCGCAATGCGTGAAATATTCATGCAGTCTCGTAGGCGCTATCCGTTTCACGCTGACCGCACTATGTTTGATGCAATGCGAGAAGTATTCGTGCAGTCTTGTAGGCGCTAAAATGTGTTACATGCCGATTGCCGCGCCGAGGCTTCTCCTTTTCATCTCAAGTCCTCGTCATCATTTCTCTCCAAGTCGCGCCGTTCCAGGCCAAATTGCGTGTTTGGTTCCTCTCTTAACTCGACTGATTAAAGGTGCTGTCTCTTGTATCACTGAAAAACGACAAAATTAGAAATTACTATACTCTCAGGAAATGAGAGCTTTTGTAGCCTTTTCTCGTTTGTAATTTTTTTTTCAAAATCTGATTTTTTTTCATACCTACATTTAAAAAAATTGCAAGATTTGCCGCCCCCGAGACTTGCCGCCGTGGGCCGCGGCCCATGTGGCCACCTCCTTAATCCGGCCCTGTCTTTCAGACCTGACTTTTTTTCTGCCAGTCAAATAACTATTAAAAGTAAAGCGACCCATGAAGTTCTTGACATCAGATACTTAAATCCAATCAATGAGTGCAGAATTTTCTTTAAATTGATACCTGCCTATTTCGGTGGAGAATATTGACCGACTCTGCTGTGCAGGATATTTTGGCAAGTGCTAACGTTTGTTTAGATGTAAATGAGTACAACACTGCTGTGCTTAGGAAAAACGCCGTACTAACATTCTTCAGTTGTCAAAAGTCCTTCGGTAAAATGTTTATTTTTGCAGAAAGTTGTTCTTATTTCTCCTTGAAATTTTCAGAGGTTTCAGATTAAATCGCAAACAAAGTCTGAAAAATTTAATGCAAAATATTCAGAAATTTCCAAATAAATTTGTTTTTAGTGTTGAATGAAACATGGCAACATCTGAGGGTTCATACGGCGTTTTTACTAAGTATGGCAGAAAAGAAGGGGAGACCATTTTCTTAGCTTATGAATCTAGGCGTTCTGACAATTAGTTGCAAGGAGGAGAACAGCCTATTAAGTAAGTGATGACATTGATCCACGCGACAAAAAATCCGAGAAAAACTGCATGAAAATTCGGTCGAGTTCCAATTAGCAGTGAATCAAAAAGCTACAGAATTTAAGCACACAACTTGTATTTTGGTTTCTGGATGGTTTATTCATTGTGTATTTTTCCCGCTCACATAGGAGAACGGGAAACCCCTCTCATTGTGGTTCAATTTCCAACTTATTTCCTAGAAAAAGATATCAAAATTGATGGTGCTCATCCAAATGGTTTCAGGAGTGCATAGTAATTTCAAGTAGCTCTGGTTACTACCCTGTTTTAAATGAAATACAAAACCATTTTGAGAATGTAATTATCTTGGTGTATCAAAGTTTCTTGTAAATTCAAAAATAAATTGTTAAAATATAGAATCAAAAATTTTAATTTAACTTGTTCTGTTTTTCTTCACCAAAGTAATTATTAATGCAATGTGGGCAGTCCCCTTGGCAATGACCCGCTGAGTCCGATTTTCTGGTCTAAAATACTCCACTAGTTTTTTGGAGCTCACAACCATAGAGAAAAAAAGGAGGTGTTTGCATCTTGAGGTTTGTTTACCCTGTGACGTAGGTCGGTACAACCTGGCCAGCAAAATCCGGAATTCGAAATATGAAGAACGGACCATAATGTCCAATTTTTTACTTAAATTAGCTCATTATATAATTTCAAGCACTTTTTACAGAATGACTTTTTTCCTTAAATTACACAATTTCCAAGAAAATCGACAGGATAAACGTAGCTGTACCGACCTACGTCATCAAATCATCAAAAAAATTCCAAGATGCCCGAAATGCAAACACTTCCTTTTTTTTCTCTATGGCTCACAACTGGCTCACAAAGAAAATTTATACCGAAAAGATATTGAAACCAGTTCAAAACAATTAGGGATTGATTTTTTTAAATCAGTCTTTATTAAAAAACATAAAACAAGTATACTTTTACACTAAAAAAATGAACTCATATTAACAAGATTTTAATAAAAAAATATGAAGCTTCAACAATTACAATTATGGGAATCGTGTGAAAAGCTCTGCAAAAAAGACCCTAATTTTCGGTGCTTGTAATTGAATTACCTAGGAACTTATTTTTAGACAGGAAACAGCCTAGACATATGCTAGATAGATGCTTACAATCATTGAAAGCTTTTTAGTATAAAAGCTCATCAATAATAAGCAACTAAAGTGTGTCATTTGAAAAACAGGAAGTTAAAGAAACCAATTAAGTGTGGCAAAATTTATAAATACTGATGATTAAATTTCATGACTTTAGTAGAAGCGGTGAGGTTGTTCAACAAATAATACACAATTTATATATTCAAGAAAATATCAGTATTTTAGGAGTGTATGTTGTGTTTTCATTTCGATTCCTCTTCAGCAAGACTAAGTTCCGAAATTCATAGTTTCCTTAATTTACTAGCTGACTTTATCTGGAAATGACGAACTAGACATAATAAACAAAATCGTGACTTTCCAATTTTCCATACCAAACCTTTTGTAAAATATGGTGGGGAACTTGATGTTTCAGAAATAAAGCTAATCAAGACAAACTAAACTGCATCACTCCCTTCATTTCTCAAAATGACTTATCAATACTGGTTTAACATCCTAGGAGTTGGTGGTGAAAAATGCAGAACTAACCCGATATTTAAAGCAGTAACCCTGGTTTTCTGCCATGGACATTCTCTGAAACGGGGTCCCAAGCTTATGGAAAGCTCTCATTGAGGTCATAAATGGAGAGAATCCACCATGCTGCCCTGAAAGTCCACCTCTAAATCCAGTCAAACTCTCCGTGCACTAATGGGGAGTGGTACATTAGCAGAGTTGCCGTGATTTCAGCCATGGAGTTTCCAAAAAATGGCAACCCTGCTTATTTATTTACTTTCTATCTATAGGTCAGAGGCAAATAGTCAAATCAAGCATTTTATCAAATGCCTAGGCAGGTACTCAAATTTTCAATGTTTACAAGGTTTTTAGTTTTCACAAATACCTCTCTAATTTTTATTATTTTGAGACTATAAATCCGTCTAAGTACAAACTGTCATTTTACTTCCTATTCAGAAATGCTCCTCATGATTCTTCAAACGCTCAAATTGTGAAAACTTTTTATTTTACGAAATGCTGCATGTTTTGAGATGAATTTGCATTTAAGGACTAGAAAAAACGTATTTATAATCGTATGGAACAAGTTTCTACAGGGAATTCATTTCCGCATGATCAGAGAATTATTTTGTCTACAGTCAGAAAAATAGTTAGAATTTCAGTCTAAGTAAGAATATTTAACTATTTGCCTCGGCATTTATCAAAATGCATGATTTGGCAGTATGCCTGCGACATATGCATGGTGAATTTGACTGGATGTAAAGGTGGACTCTCAGTATAGCATGGGGAGGATCCCTATTTTACAGTCTCAACTTTCAGTGCTTTTTTGGAGCTTCGATGTGCATTTCAGCAAAAACCATCATTTTGCTTACAGGATTTTACATAAAAATAAGTACTAAACTAAAAAATCTCTGACACATGCAAGAGCTCCATGCAAGTTTTTGGGAAAGCCATGTACTGTTTCAACAATTTTGAAGAAGAGGGCCAGTTTTTGGCAATCAAATTTGTTTGAAATTTTCATGGCACTATATCAAAATCCTTGGAAAGGTTTCGCCAAGCATAATTTATATCGACGGTGTAAGTCAGCAATCACATAAGTCGTTTTCGGTGTCTGAAAATCTGCCTCTATAGTATTTTCTTAAAGGAGAACAAATTGACATCATTTCTTGGAGTTTTTGCCAAATTTTCTTTACATAGAGAAGAAAAATCACGACAGTTTTAAAGAATTGTCGTTGAGTAGTTTTCCGTTTAAAAAATAATGTGTGATAGGAAGTCTGCAACGTCGCAAATGACTTGTATGTGATTGCCGACTTAAACCGTCGATATGGTGTTGAGAATAAATTTTCATGGCACGAAACTTATCTTCTGTAGAGATAACTGAGGCATTTGATTCAGTATTTTGGGAAACATTTTCAAGGACTTATGGGTGTACAATTAACTCAAGCACTATAACTAACTTGAAACATGACACTTGAATGACTTAAAACTTGTCTAGCAGCAGAGAGTGCGACAGGAATGACTCCCAGAATATATTTTTATTCAGTGTTCTCTATCACAAGTGCTTTTACTTCCTATTGTCTCTAATGAAAGAGTGTTCAAAAAAACATGTTAACTGTGTTAGCAGGAGTAGATCCTTTGAACAATTTTGAGGACCTCTTTTGTCATCTTGAAACTATAGGAATTGGTAAATTACCGACCACAATCTCTGCTTCTTAACTTCATATGCAGCTTCCTTATCTCGCTTCTTGCTCTTTGTTTCTTGATAAGGAATCATGGTTTGGCATTGTTCCTACATTTTCTTTTGACAAAAGTATGTATTACATTGAAAATTATGGCGCAACAGAAAAACTCAACCCAAATTTAAAATAAAAAAAAAGAATACACAAATACTTCTACACCAGAATGAAAAAAAGAGATCAAGTAAAGCTATGCCTCAAAATATGATGCATCAAGAAGTGATTTATAACATAGTTCATGAATTTGAAGAGTCTAAAACTTTCAACTTTATCATTAAAGTAAGTGCAAGAATTAAATCTTATTTAAAAAGGAAGAAAATTATAGCTTTTGGTGGGCATCGTTACCTACAAAAAAAATACTTTCACATTAATTTAAGAAAATTCTACGAAAATATTGGTGAAGAACCAAGCACCAAAGAGAGAACTATTGGTTCTTCATTGCACACCAACTGATTAAATCTATGATGCTGTAACCATATGGTGGGAAAAGGCCTGTCATCCACCATTTAGGATGCTGCAACACATAAAGATGTAGCACTAAAAGCTGAAAACGTAATCAAAGACTTTTAAACATTGCGATTAAGAGATACATTTAAAGCATTCTGTCTGCAATATTTGATATAAATGATGCAATAAAACGAAATTGTTCCATTGATAATTTGCATTGCATTCTAGACAGAAATCAGTGGTATGATTAAGGCAGTGGTAATGTTAATAGTTGAGGTAAGATTATAATAAATGAATATTAAATATATCAAGTTTCTTTTTGTATAACTTAAATGAGGACAAAGTAAAAGAACTTCTAACAAAGAGATCTCTAGTGCTTTTTGTTGAATCCGGAAAAAACCAAAAAAGAAAACCTTTGTGATATTTTACCTGAGCTTCATGGGTTTAGGCAAAATTTCCAAGCTAAACATATTCAAGTTTTATTTGCAACGACTTGCAGATAGGAAGAAGGTTGGAAAACAAGAAAACATCAATTTTTACGAATTCACTAGGAAGATTCTTTGTAGAGATGCTCTGGTACTTTTTACGCCGGCAACTTTACGGTCGGTTAGCATCAAAAAATAAATCATATCAATTAGGGGGAGAGGAAATACAAAAATAAATAATATTCAATAGGTCAATAGTGCTTATCAATTAGAACAAAATTCATTTTACCCTGTAGGAGCCTCAGAGGACACATAATACAAACAATTAAAGCTAAACAATATAAGAGAGTGAAAAAAATAACCTCATAAATCCTAATTGGAATATACACACATCATGAGTTCTTTGGATGAAAGAACAATATAAAAGGACTCTGAACGAAATTTATCATTAAATGAACACATGGTTCAATCAACTTCTGCTCAGACGAAAAAATCTCACCAGGAGTTGAGGACCAAAAGCGATATTTTTCCTCGATCTTCATAGTTTTGATAATGTTCTTCAAAGAATGAGAAATGTTTGCGCTCAAAGTCAAGAAGAAGACTTGAGTCAGCCATTTCAAAAACAATCTAACTTCAGATTAACTCTTTTACAGCAAAATACTTAGAGTCCATACTAAGTTATGAGAGGATAATGAAATATTTTGACTAAGGTTCTCTAAACCGAGTGCACTTTTGACACTTGAATTCAAAAATTAGCTTACAAATATCTATGATCTCTCTTTGGTTTTTTCCAACTTCTGAAGAATTTTGATTCATTACAAGGCTTCTGGAAAGGCAGGTTCATGTTTAATACCATCTTTCATTTCAAGCTATGAAAAATCTTCAGTGACATGAACAATTTAGAATGCTTGCTAGCCTTAGCCACTAAAATGGAAAGATCTCGTTTTTCAGAGCACAGAATAACTTGAAGGGCAGTGTATTCAGACATATCATGAACACAAGATAAACCATAAATGGTAACTATTAAAGAAACTTACAACTAGAATACTCTTTATGAGCCCATTGACACTTTATCACCTTCCAACCAAAGTATCGCAGGCGCCATTAACGCTTAAGCGCCATGATGCTGGACATCTCAATGTTGCTTCAATTTTTTCTTTGAAACTTTTGCACATATTTCCAAGAAAATTCTAGGGATTAATTGAAGCGTTGGGTGTAGAAAGGGCATTTTTCAGTTGCGGGGTTTCAGAATTTCCAGTGCTAATTTAAAGTTTGAAGTGGAAACGAGTAGGTGAATTGTCTGAAATTTCACGTTTACAGCATTATAAAATCATAAAAAGTATTCAGTAAAAGTTACAATAAAGTACATACATTTGCTTTAATCATATTGGATGAAACGTCAGCGGTGATTTTGAGACACCGTAATTAGATATACCCTTTCTGCTCCTGGCGCTTCAATTTTGATGACAAGAAATATTAGATACATTTTCAAAAGATTCTGTTTTTTAGATTTATTGTAAAAATTTGAAAAGTTTGAAAAATTAGGCAACATAGTGCCTATGTACACATCGCGCTTGTGATACTTTGGCCAGAGGGTGACGACTTATTGATGAGCAGACTTCTCCAATGCAAGAACGGTGATATTTATGTTAATAAGCTGGCTTGTTGGTAACAATACTCTTCTTCAGTCGACTTATTTTACATGGTACAATCTTTCTATATTTTCCTGCTATTGAGAGGAAAAACTGTTATAATATGATATTATCCGCACTACATTTTTAAAAGTAACGTTACAGAAGGTTGAAGGTGTGGTTACAAATTTTAAGTGCTAAAAAATCAAATCAGGAACATGGCTTGGTTATCAAAAAAGATAAGTCATGTGTCAATGGATTACAGAAAATAAAATGGTGTTTAAATGGGAGACGTTCCCAGAGGGACACAATGAACTTAATCTAGACAGTCTGTAAGGCAGCAAAATAACAAAGACCAAGATTCTTTGACTTAGTGAAAAATGAAGGGGAGCATGAAAAGCCTGAGAAAAATTGAGTTCATACAAACCTGCGACCTTTTGTTAATTTGCTTATAAGATTGCAAATTTTCAAGGCGGGTCCTAATTTCAATCCCATATATTTCATACACATTTCAAAATTCAGTAACAAGAACGCTCGGCCATCGATCTCCTGAAAAGAGAGAATCAAAATATGATTAATATACAAAGCATCAATTCTGCTCCTCGAATAAAATATAAAAAAAAACCCTGCCAAAGATGAATGACTTTGTCTCAATGGAGAATTTGCAATGGTCTGAAATTTGATGAATTTTGTGGATGAATTCAGTGGGATCTACTGAGTGAACTGAACACGAAGATACCCTTGATTCAAAAACTGAGCAATTATTAGAGGAGATATGACAAAATGACCGATTCTGCTAAAATACATGTGTTTAGATGGGAAATGCCACCAGATGACGTAATAAGGTGGCACATTTTCTCATTTTTAAATAGATTTTTCTCCGATTTCCCATGTCAGAAAAAAATTATGAAAAATACTGCAAACTCAGCTCATCAGGCACTTTCAGATGAAGAAATGAAATTTTTGTGTGCAAATTCTCCATTCTTTAAGATGCTGTTTCCGAAATAATGTAAACAGAAAGTGTTGTTTCGAGTTCACTACGTATGTGTCGGACCGTGTGACAGCAGCAACAAAACTGGTCAGCAGCTGGTCAAAAGGGGAATCTTTAATTTGCTTACATACTCTTAGTGCTCTTGCTTGTGGATGCAAGACCATTTTCCCCTTCATTTCTTAACCCAATGCAAAGGATTCTCTCATTTACAAGCCACTGACTGACATTACAACACTGGGGGACACGTAAAAAGTTTTAAAAGTGACATCATAGACAAAAAGAAAATTGTTTTGTTGGTCTGGGTTTAAAATAACTACACATCAAAAATTCCAAAATTTTATCAAGACTTTCCCTGAGATCATACATATACAAAGATTACTTTTTGAGCTCTGCAATTCAACTTTGTTCAATTTACAGCATTTAAAATTCTTAACTGAATCGACGTATGCGAAAACGTCCGTTGTCCAATACAGGTTTTCATAATTGCGGTGGGTTTCTTTTGTCCCACGACACTGATGAATCGGATCCATCTCTTTTGTAAACATTTAATTACACCCAGGGGATTATTTATACAATTTTTCTACATTCCGAACGTCTTAAACCATCTTATGTCCTTGAGTTACAACAAAACTGTCCACTCATATTCTGAAACACTGTCTTGGACATCGGACGTTTTTGCATGCGTTGATTCAATTTTGACTCAAATCATTGCAACACCCATACGTTCAAAAAGTACTGAACGTTTGTATTTTTGGAGCAAACAGGAACAGCTGTAATAATGTGATTCGATTGTGATAACAGAAACCGAAATAATCTTTAGAACAAGCCCTTGTTGAGCATTCAAAGTTAAAAACCGACCGAGCAGTAGACCCATGACAGGCAAGTTCATTTTTGTCCACTAGGATTCTCGGAGCTGCTTCTTCAAAAAAAAAAAAAAAAAAAAACTTATTGAATGCATTTAAGCAAAAAAAGTCTGTTTACATTGGATGACTCAAGACTCAGGACCCATTTTTCATTACTTCAAAATACTGCAGTTGGATTTGTCTTCTCTTCCTCCCGAACTTGTGAGAAACTTTTCCTGTAACAAACTTCTAGGCAATTCCCCCCCCCCCCCNCGAAAAAATTTAAAATTTCCTGACTCTTTCAGACTCATACATATCGATGGTGAAACTCCCAAACCAAGTATCTTGTTTGCAGTGTTTTAAAAACTTGGCTCCTATTTAATTTTTTTAGAGCAGAAAATATCAAGATTATTCCTTGAAATTTTCACAGAATTTTCTTAGCCCAGAGAGAGAAAATGACGCAATTTTTGAGATTTGCCGTTGACTAGTTTCCTGATTAAAAATTAAAGAATGACATGAAGTCTGCAATGTGGCAAACCAAGATGCGTGGTTTGGAAGTTTTGCCCAGAGACAAAAAACCCTTCACTGGTATCTTTGCAATGCTGGAGGCTTTTACTTTCGGGATTCCAACATTCAACTGTTGACCTACCTAATAGGTGAAAGGGTAACAATGTGTTAAGAATTTCGTTCCGCAAACAAACCGAAGTTTGGGAAACTTGTTTCGTTCATGGCATCACCCAAAGCTCATCATTCACCTGGTAGGTACATCAACAGTTGGAAAAAGAGTGATGACTATTGCTCCTGTGGAATTGTCCAGAAGAGAGTGTCAAATCCCAGAAAGTAGTAGATTCAACCTGTCGCCGAGGGACCAGCAGCCTGCTTGTTGAAATTTTGTGTTTGTCGGGTAGACATAGATGACATTGGCTAAAAGGCGGAGCGTGATTGGTTGGCTATGTCTTAATGCTGCTTTATCGTGCCTATGTTGGGTGGAACTCACAACAAGCTGGAGGCACCTCTTAAGTTTCCGACAGTATGTTGTCCATTCCACCTGACAAAGGCATGATAAAGCAGCGATAGGACTTAGCCGACCAATCACGCTCCGCCTCTTAACCTGAGTCATCTATGCCTACCCGACAAACACAAAATTTCAACAATTAGGCTGCAGTGAAGGGTCTCCTGTCTCTGGTTTCACCGTTGATAAACTAGGTTCTTCAAACCGTCAAAACCCTAAGAAAAGAAAAAGGCAAAACTAAAAATTGCTCTGAAATTAAATGCCCATGCATTTCACGAGTTCGAAAATTATTCTGAAATACTTCAGGTCAAGTCCACAGATACCACTCTCTCTGAAGATCAGCAACATACTGCATACATACTTACATGCTTGTAAAATACGTCTGCATGTTGAAGGAGAACTGGATTTGCAGAGGAGATATATTGAATGACATTTTCTACGGACCACTGATTGGGATCTGCTTCCAGGTCATTAAGGTTTTGTGTAGTTGAAGTTGCCAACTCTTTACCATCTGTTTTGGCAGAAATTGACAAAAAAGAATAAATGTTGAACTCATCGTCTAGAGGAAATTTCACTCAAATGGAAGTCTGCCAACTTTGGGCACCTCTTCAAATCCCAAAATGGGCACAATTTAAAAATTGTCTCTTCGCATAGGCAATGAATCCTGCAAAAATTGAGGGTCTCAAGATAACCCTCAGGTACTGTGTCGTCATAGTTTATGTAACTTCTAAAGAGGAGGATCGATTAAGAAAAAAAGAGAGAACTGGGTAGACTTAGGGAGTCTTCTAAATTGACTGGATGAAGCCCTCTCTTATTGATAAACAACTAATCAATGATTCTGCCTTATGTAAGCACTTTTTTAAATTGTGCTCATTTTGGGATTTGAAGAAGTGCCCAAAGTTGGCACACTTCCATTTATGATTGTAGAGAAAAGAGTAGCCAAGGTGTTATAAGTGTATTTAGTTATTGATTTATTTACTAAATTATGCGCTAAAGCTTTTCGGCTTTCAGCCATCATTAGAGCTTAGGTTAGAAAGGTCAAAAAAACGCATAACAAATAACACTTAAAAAACATTTCGCCGGTCACAATTATCAATGCTGAATTACAGTTATGCGAATATGGGCACAAAGCTTACTGGATATCGGTACGCTGAAGGCTACATTGGATGGTGGGGATATATGCTTGGTTTATCCTCCACAATCATATTTCAAAACAAATACAAATTCTTTCTCTACAATCATATTTCAAAATGGTGTTACTAATGAACGATTTCATAAATACTTCCTTTTAAGCGACATGTAATTTTCACATAATAAACTATCACAGTGTAAAGTGATTCTGCTTCTCCTATTTATTAATTTAATGGGTCAGTTGTGCTGGTCACAGAATTATGTTTTGATGCTTAATTCCAATAAATTAGCTGAAGTTTCATGATTTGTCCAAACCACACCTTTTTCATTCAATATTAATTGAGATATTGCCCTTTGAAAAGTTCGGTTTTTGACATCATCCACCATGGTAGTGACACCCTTGGTTTCTTCCACCTTGGTTTTATCAGTCAGGGAGACATACATTAGCACTGGTTACTCTACGAGAAACACGGATGAAAGCAAGGTGGAAGAAACCAAGGGTGTCACTACCGCAGTGGATAACGTCAAAAACCCAAATTTTCAAAGGGCGATATCTCGATTAATATTGAACGTAGAAAGTTGCGGTTTGGACAGATCTTAATGTTTTCATTTAATCTAAAAAAATCAAGCATCAAAATACAATTCTGTGACCAGTGCAACTGGCCCAATAATGCTGCTATCAGCTTGATGTTTGATTAAAATAAGCATGACAGAGAAAAGCCGGGCACACAATCAAAATAAGCTCATCAATCCAACAGTGCTGCTGCCAGGCTGTTAACCAACTGATCAGAGTGCACCATCAAATTGATGAAAGTTGCTTCAGTTTGACAGAGCATAATATTCTCATTGGTTGGGTAGAATGTGGGCTTCGAAATCAGTGCTTTTGGCGCTTAAAGCTAGAATCAATCAGAGGCAATCTGACCTTGTTGGATTGATAGGTTTATTTTGATCTTGTGACCCCAGCTGAATTATAAGATACAACATATCGATGCATCAGCTTACTTTTATCAAATCCTAGAGAAAAAATTCGAAGAGAGGCCTGCGGAAAAGATGGATGTAAGCTTTATCTGGCCTGAGAATCAAATTTTTTTAACCTTTAGAATAAACTGAACCTTAATTTGATCATCCTCTCCACACTTTTATTTTTGTCACATTTAGTCATGCCACAGATCTTAGAATTCACAAATGAAAATATTTGTTACTTTTGGCAAATTATTATATGATGGAATTAGAGCTGTGAAGTCTACGTCTATTAGAATAAAGAAGAAAAGTTCCTCAAAACTACTTTCAATAAAAATGAGCTACTGTCTCCTTTCAAAAATCTGCTGCACTTACTTGAAATTTTTGGTTCTGTAGTTGGGGCATTCGTGTCGGGGGGTAATATCCTCTCATGGTTGAAGTTCTCTTTCATGGTTTCGATGACTGAAACAAAAAATTAAAATAATGGAATTTAGGTGCACCTTAATAAGAGTATTGATCAGTTTCTTTGTTGAACCTTCTTTTCTCATCTCCTTTGTTCAGTTTTTACTGAACTAATCAAAAGCAATTTTTAAAGTGAAGGAACAAATAGCCTAGATAAAAACTATTTCATAGCAAGAAATACCATAAGAGATGCACTTGATTTTATTCATTTTTTCATTTTTTTGTGAGATTAAATAACCTTTCTGAACTCACTTTGCAGAGCATTACTTTCATTTCTGCAGAATCCAACTTCACTGTGTCGGCGAATTATGTTGGATGATTAGCTTCTGCTCTGATATTCACATCTAATTACGCTTCTCCATCATTGTAAAAGGAAAAAAGCACAGGATGAAAAAATTAAAACACTGGCTTAATTTCATGTTAATTTGACATGTTGTTCTTGACAGCGTTGGAGCGTGATTAGCCGAAAAAACCATGACATACCTATAATGAGAGAACAGAAGCTAAGAAGTGAATTTTGGAGCACATTGACATGCATTATCTTGTAAAAATGTTGCGGTTAGTGTTAAATGAACCAAAATTTTCCCAAATAATATTTGGTTGGTGGCAGAAAATCTGTACCATGAAAAGTAATTCACTCAGAATCAGTATGCAAGAAACAGGGTGTCTACAGACTCAAGGAGGAAAAATTCTGCACTTTCCTAGATTTTCCCTGGAAAAATTATCAAAATTCCATAACTTTTTAGAGGAATGATTCAAACTGAAAATAAGAAAAAGTTGGCATTGACCTCAGTCCAAATGACTCACATAAACCATTTTCCTTCATGTAGTAATTATTTGATTAACTAAAATTAAAACTCCTTATTGAAACTTATTTCTCCTTCTATTGATCAAAGTATACCTCTACATTAAGAATCAGTTTGATTGTGTGAACAGCGCTGGTGTTTTTCAGAATTCCAGATTTCCCCAACTTCCGGTCTTTTTCGTAAAATTCTCTAATTTCCCTGACCTGATGGAACTTACTGATGAGTCCCGGTTTTCCAGACCTATAGACACTCTGGAGAAAAAATTCAATGTTATAAACTCGATTTATTCCTAAAAAAAATTTTGGAGCCATATAGTCCAGGCAATAGGGAAGTTCTTGGGGAAAATTTCCCGGAAAACTTTTTGATGAGTGATTCCTATGTATTTTTGGACGCTGAATCCGAATTTCGCATCTGTGTAAAGATCTTTTCGCCGCTAAAGCCGCCATTTTGAAAAAATGGCCTAAAAATGGCCTAAAATCCCAATTTTTGAAAATATCTCGCTTATTTTTGATTTTTTGACCAAAGTAGTTATTTTCAAAAAAAAACTACATAAAATTCGAAAGAAAACAGGTTCTTATCAATTTTTTGATATGACTGAAATTTCAGCCGCCAGAGCGCGCTGAAAAAACCGCCAAAATTCGAATTTCGCGAAACTTGCGCTTTTCTCGTGAATANCTGAAATTTCAGTCATATCAAAAAATTGATAAGAACCTGTTTTCTTTAGAATTTTATGTAGTTTATTTTTGAAAATAACTACTTTGGTCAAAAAATCAAAAATAAGCGAGATATTTTCAAAAATAGGGATTTTAGGCCATTTTTAGGCAATTTTTTCAAAATGGCGGCTTTAGCGGCGAAAAGATCTTTACACAAATGCGAAATTCGGATTCAGCGTCCAAAAATACATAGGAATCACTCATCAAAAAGTTTTCCGGGAAATTTTCCCCAAGAGCCCCTATTTGATGCCCAATTGCCTGGACTAATATTCTATGCATAAGATGCGCTTTCCATTAAACTTACCATCCTCAACATTCACTTTGGCATTTTCTTCGCCATGTCCATTTGATTCAGAGTTTCTACGAGCCCTGGTTGCCTGAAACAAGGGGCCATAATACATACATTAAAACATGGTTATGGAAGGCAATTTTGAATTTTTGAAGAATATTTCAAGTTCTTTTCAAAAAATTCGATGTCATATTTTTTTTAATGAATTTTCCTGTCAAAATTGTTGGTCTAGGTCGACAATATTTACTTCTCTTCGAGGGTAAATCAAAATTTCCTTCTTCACGTCTTTATAAACAATCTTCTCATTGTCAAATGCTTTGTCGTTTCTTATTAAGAAGCATTTACTGCTGACAAGTAGTAAAGAATTAAATATGAGTTCATTTTAACCACTTTCCAAGAACTCGAGCACTTTTGCGGCCTAGGAAAAATATCACCCGATCAAGCATTTTTAAAAGCATTGGCTACAAGCAAGGCTGCATTGGCCAAGTAATGCATTCTTGGATTGAATCTGATATTCAAATTTAGATGAAAGGGACATAGGGCAATAACGTGAATTTTTTGCCACAATTTAACTCGTTAAACTGACAGTCAAAGGATCTCAATGACTTGATGTTATCACAGAAATTCCTCATCCTAATGATGTTTTTCATTTCTCAGAAATAAAAAACGATATCAAGTCCATCAGAAAGCCTTCTAAAATGTCCATCGTGCTTCACATTCCTTGAGATCTACAGAGTTTCACATCTGTTCAATAGCTAAAACTAAAAACTGTTCAATATCACCACAAGGCTCATCAAAGAAGTAAGTTTCCCAACTTGATATACTCCAAATCAAAAAGGATAAATCGAATTAATAAAGAGATACAACTTACTCAGACAAACAAACTCAAATTTTGAAAATCAGTGACAATGTTGAGTCAGGTAACAGCAGTCACCAGGGAATTCGACTTTACTGGAACCACCTCTAGTAGGTGGGTGCTTACCTCTCCATGCATCAAAAACTCATCCGAAAATCTCCCAACTTTTTCTTAAAAAATGAAGGGAGCTGGAGGCAGAAGAGTTGAATTCATTTAAATCCTCTTGATCTCAACTTCAAATTGATATACTGATTCGACATTGTGAAAATCTTCACCTTGTTACAAAGCGTTTTTACCTCTTGGTGCGTAGTCAGATTGCATACTCTACATAAGTTTCTCTCAGCTACTAAAATTATGTTTACAGGCATTATAAAACAGGGAAAAACATTTTTACCGGTTGATTTTCTATTTTACACAGTCCGCAGGATCCCTGCTGCAGAATAATCACAAGTCATTGCAAGTCAAGGGGTGCATCGGTGACCGAAATTGTGGACAAAAATTAAATGATTCCTTCGCAAACTAGTTGATCAAAAATACCGAATATATGCACCAAAGTAAAGCTGAAAATATGATTATTAGAATAAACCTCCACATCCAGCACCCCAAACTTCAAGAGGGAAAATTGAATGATTCTGGTATGATCAGAGAGTATGGAAGGTTAGAGGCCCGACTCAATGCTAGGTAATTGAAACAGAAGCGCTCGCAGCGCGCTCGCTGGCGACGTACGCAACTATTATTTTCTATTGTTTTCCAGGGACTAGCGGCGGGTATGTTGCTGCCGGACCACCTCCACGTAGGCAATATTTTATACATCGTCCGTCCGCAACCCTCGCTTAGCCAATCAGCGCAGTGGTATGGGATTCCGCTCGCCGCGCACTCTCGCGCCAACGTACGCAACTGCTTGCTCACGGCTCCAACTTCTGTTTCAATTCTTCCCTATCCAGTCGGGCCTCTAACCTTCCATACTCTCTGGGTATGATCTCCTATTGAATCAGAAGGTGGGTATGGAGTGACAGAGGGTGGTCTTAATAAAATTTGGTTTTGTCCCAAATTTATTAACTGAATTTCACAGTCTTCAGCTTGTTTGAAAGCCGAAAGAATACTCAACAGAAATCTTTCACTAATTTGCTTCATATTTTATTGTTCAAAAATATCAAAACCCCATTGCTGATCATCACAAAAAAAAATGTTAAATCTTATGCATTATTCGTATGATATTCTTCCCAAACGGGAAAACCTCAAGTGTGAAAATAAAACGCATAAACTTACCTTGCTAAATTCAGCAAGACAGCTTTCAGAGCAAAATTCTTTTTTCCCATCAGAGCAGGGAAAAACATATGGGAGCTTCAGGGTTTCCTCTCTGCACCATGTGCAAAATACTTTGATCTTCCGTGGTCTTCCTATTAGTAAAAATTACAATTAATCTCAAGTTGGATCAAATTAACTCTTGACAAACATTAATTCGTGAGTAAATGTGTCGAGGGTGATACTTCTTTAAGCTTATTTCACTGAGGGCTTTATGCAGAGGGGATTATAACTGAAGAGAAATGAATCAATCACTGCATCATCATGCATCAGTTAGCAATCACTTTTTAACGTTTTGAAAAAAAATATTAAGGCATGCAATGCTTATCTGTATTTGTACTTATGGTTGCTTAATCCAAAAACGACCTCAGTTTTTCTCTGTCATGCATTAATTTCTTAGAAAATTAGATTTTCCTTGAAAAGCCCAGATTTTTTAGGAAGATCTCAATTTTCCATGAAAATCATAAGTGTAGGGAAAAAACTATGGTAATTTTCAGACTTAGCACTAAAAATTACACCAAACTCAACAGTCAAATGTTCAGCTTTTTTTTTTTCCTTTAAGAAAAAAAATATGGGGACCTTGATAAAAGTAATCACTGATGCAAAATGACTAAACCTAGCAAGCCTGCTGTGGTGTGCCTTAATAGACAGACAGCTGAAATGAAAGTTTTACAAAATTATTACCATTAAAATGAGTTCAGAAAGCTCCGGAGCACATTTGCCAGACTCCATAATAATCAAGGGTAATTTCAATAAGACTCAATGTAAAAAAAACACTGATTTTTCAGCACTATCTGGCAACAATGCTACAGAGGGTTGACAGCTCGTTGCATGATCTTCCTATTCGACAGTGAAACCTCCAAACCAAGTATCTAGTCAGCAGTGATTAAAAATCTCTGCTCCTATCTTATTTTTTTTAAGGACAACAAATCAGCACAATTCCTTGAAGTTTTTTCATAAACTAGCTTTGCACATAGAGAAAAAATTACAGAAATTTTCAAGATTTGACGTTGAGCAGTTCTCCATTTAAACAAGGAAGTTTGACACGAAGTCTGCAACATTGCAAACCAGGATACACGGTTTGCAAGATTCAGCATCAATTTTTTCTCGCAGCATATGTCTTGATTTTAATAATACCTCAGAACCCTACAATTTTCAGGACCTCTTTGTTACAGTTATAGATAACTCTAGTAAACCCAAAAATTTAATTTTCCTCATGAATTCAGATTTTGCTCAAGTTTGCCGCAATCCATAGATCAATGAAATTCAGCGTTTTTACACCCTGCCCTAGGGTAGGTTAATTAGGGAGTAGTTACCTTTTAATTTTTTCTTCAGAGGTTCTTCGGTGACTTCGTCTTTTGGTCGATCTTTAACCACCCGTTTTATCCTGCAACATTCAACAAAAATATGAGGAAAAAAAAAACAGCAGTCAGCAGGAACAACAAATTCCTCATTAGATATGATTATTTTAAGTAAATTTTTGCTGCTTGTGCGAATTGATTAAGATTTTGAGGATATTCATTTCAAAAAGATTAGAGAGCAAAGGACATTGAGTTCCTTATAATTAAACTTTGAGACATCACTTAGCTCATTCCCTTGATAATATACTTTACATTTTCTTTCACTCTAGGTGCCAATAATGGAGAATTTGCAGGTGTCTAAAGTTTTGTGAATTTCATGTGTAAGAAGAAATTACTTGGTGAACTAAGCATGAGAAAATCCTTGGTTTCTTAAATGAAGAGTTATATTCCAAATTATCTAATCTGCTTTCATTCATGTGTTTAAAAGGGAAATGCACCTACCTAAAGAAATTTCAAAACACTTAACACATAGTACATCGGTGGCGTAAGTCCAGTTCACATATCTCTTTTGCCATGTCTGAAATCCCTGCCTCTACGTTATTTTTTAAAGGAGAACAAATTAACATCATTCCTTGAAGTTTTTGCAGAATTTTTTTTTGCTTAGAGATGAAAAATCACGGCTGTTTTAAAGAATGCTGTTGAGTAGTTTTCCGTTTAAAAAATAAAGTATGACAAGAAGTCTGCGACGTCGCAAATCGAGTTATGTGATTGCCAACTTACACCGTTGATATTTTTTGATTAATATCGCAGAACAGTCACCATTGGCAAAAATCTTGATGATTCTGTTTTTCCGGGATTTTGGTCCTTTAAAAGAACATAATTCCAAAATGTTTGCTGCAGGCAACTTAAGTGCCTATTGGTGGAGCACCAAAACTTTGTCAAAACTTTGGTTTGGTGCAGTGGTTAAAAAAGCAACATAAATACTTACAAAGATCCTTTTTTTGCACGGGCCTGGCTGACAATGCTAACTTTTGACATCTTGAGATATCTGTTTGACAGCTGCAAACAAAAATTACTATAGTTCCTAATAGTCTCATGAGTTTGAGGACTAAATACCTACTTTGAGTCTGCATTCGAATATAGGTTGCCTAAATTTGCGACCTTGTTCATACAATTGAGTCCACCCCAAATAAGTTTATGCAGTTTTGCAGTGCGACAGAAGATCAGCTGCTTTCAGTTTAGTGGAAGTAAATGTAGGAATCAAGATGGCAGATCTTCTGTTACACTCTTCAAAAGCGTAAAGTTTTATGGCAAAGACAACTTACCAGTCCCAAACAACCGAACTTCAGAGCGGACCATATTAATGATTACAGTAATGCTGTTAAGTCTATTATAAAGCCTGCTACTTAATTCGACCATGATATAATTCTGATATATGTTTTGTCAAGAAAAATTTCAGTTGAAAACAATTCTTGCGCTGACATGTTCTGACGTTTAGTAAATTTCGACAAACTCTGCCACAATTTGACACTCTACAGACCATGTGAGAATTTTGGAAGCGGAAATTTCATTTACAAGCAAGTATAGGTAACTCAATACTTAAAAATGCAGCTAATTTTTGGGTCTTCATAAATTAAATTCATTGGAACAAATTCACATCAAAGTAGTGCACCTAGTTACACATTCACAGGGGTAAAATGAGGCTGTAATGTCCTTCCTGATATTAGAACCTGACATTCCTGTTACCTACTCCATGTTTAAGGTGATTCGACGGACGCCATACTTTGTGTCAGAATGAGCTGCGATGTATTGCATCGATTGATTCCATTTTTTCAACTACTCGTCATTTTTCTCGAATTTTGAGATCGCAATTTTCTTCTCAGGAGACTGAAGAATTCACTCACCAATTTTGACAAACAAATAAAATGTAATGCAGGCGTGGTTTTTTCAGAGAGAAAATATCACATTCCAGTGCACTTTTGATATCAGAATCAATGCAATATTTTTCCTCTAAAAAAGCCCCAAATTTATTACGTTGAATTTGTCTGTCAAAATAGGTAAGTGAATTCTTTAGTCTCCTGGCAACAGAATTGCGATCTCAAAATTCGAGAAAAACGATGATAGGCTAAAAGAATGAAACTAATCGATGCGATATATCGCAGGTCATTCTGACACGAAATATTATGGTGTCCATCGAATCACCTTAAGACTAATGTGATGCTAGACCCAAGCCTGGTTTAACCATTCCAACTGATCATTGACACCAACAAACGGATGAATAATGGAATGGACTCCATTGAGAAATTGTGGGAGAGATAAAACAGTGTGAACTGTCAATTTAGTTCGGCATGAAATAACTTTCAATTATCCTAAAAATCAGATGAGCTGTCGAGGACATGATTGGTTAGACAGATTGCTGAACAAAAGTACAACAACGGTGTAAGTCGGCAATCACATAACTCGCTTGCGGTGTCTGAAAATATCCGCCTCTATGTTATTTTATTAAAGGAGAACAAAGTGACATGATTCCTTGAAGTTTTTGCAGAGTCTTCTCCGCAGAGAGAAAAAAAATCATGGGAGTATTAAAGAATTGCCATTGAGTAGATTTCCGTGTAAAGAATAAAGTAGGATAGGAGGTCTGCAACGTCGCAAACCGAGTTATGTGATTGCCGACTTACACCGACGACATACTCTTTGACTTTTACAGCGGCAACTGAGCTGACTGTTTATGCGATTGTGAATAGCTAGTCACAGGCTTAAATACAGAGATTAATACCTTAAAAACTCTTACCCAGTCACGCTAAAATGACGAAATGCTCCTTCAGAAATTTGGAAGAATTATTACCGGTAACGAAAAAGCATGCGACGGCTAACGGGCTGAACTTTCAGTGTTTTGTAAACAACAGAACAGAACACACAATAAAATAAATGATTAATCAGCCAATCAGCTGACCACAAAAACCATAAACTTTGCCCGGCACTTGTAACAACTTTCCAGAAGAAAAAGTCTCCCCGCGCTCATGATAAATTCAATCGTCAGTCACCATCACACGGAAAACAGAAGTGAAAAATAACGCGAATAAGTTTTACTTCATTTGAGCCTTTTTGTCCGTCAGAAATCGTGCAATTTGGCTTATGATAGATTACTTTAGTTGTGGATTCCCGCATAGCATAGCAGAATCAGAATAGGTACTTTTAGGGATATTTTTTTTCTTGCCCACCAAAACCTGCACCCGGTTGTTTACATTTTGCACGTTGGGAAGCGGTTTGGTTATAATCTGTGCTTTTTCCGTGTTTCTTGAATTTTTCCAACTTTTTAAATTATTCTCCGAGTGTTTTTGCATTTATCTGTACATAATCATGAGTGATAACGTTCATGGAACATTCGTTTCGCATAAAGTGAGCAAAGTCAGGTGGAAGCCAGGAAACAATTCAGTCTCCGAGACGTTCATCACCGGTTCTTGGGATGAGGAAGTGAGATTTTTTGTTTTCACACATATTCTGCTCTTTGATTTCTATTGTTAAAAGTACTCACCTTAATCATATGTGAACTTCAAGTAGTTGAGCTCACAAATGCTTCCAAATTGAATTGACAAACTGATTGCGGTAGGCGCCTCAATCGTTTAGACAGTGAGTTTGAATTCCCCTCTGCTTGCCTCTTCCCTCTGTATTGAGATTTGCAGCTTTATGCTGATTTTTAACGCACGTTGGCTGAAAAATTCTAACTTACTGTCTAAAGTGAAATGAATCGATAGCGTGATAAATGGTGGCCTTCCAATGAAGTTGGTCCCAGATTTCTTTAGTGCAATATTAAATTCTGAGCCCTTTTCTGAAAATTCAATTTTGACTGGCCGATGGAGTCACAAATGGTAGCACTCTTATATAACTAGTTGTGGAATTGATCCATGAATGCTGGAGGAAGAAATGATGGTGTCATCCTCTGGTCGAGTAATCAGCGTTTTCTCCATTCAAATATCTCTCTCTATGAACGCAGCAACCATTGGTTTTCCCCACCACAAAATGACAGGACCTCTAGCAGGTAATTCTGGAAAAAATTAAAACCAGAGAATCAGTTCAACTTTGCTCTGTTTTTTAAAAAAAACCCAAAGACCTCCGAAATTACATCATTCGATATACTTTTATTACTATTTGTGTTAAAAAATCAGTGTCTGGAAATTGCTATACATAAGTACTTGATCTCTATTTTCCAGTTTTCTTGATGGTTCCGCTCTGTAGAAAGAATAATCCCTTGGTAAGTCACTTGAGCTTTTGGAAGGAGAAGGACATAATAATGTTAGTGTCTTGGCAAAATACTTTTTTTTTTTTTTCCTAATTTACTCCTTGTATGATTACAGCTTAATCTCCTCAAACTGTGGATGTATCCTGAAAATGACAGTGAACAACAAAATCCTGATTTGTATCCATTAGCAACCTCAGTTCAAGTTCATGAAGGAAATGTAACAGAAATCAAGGTGAGTCCTTAAGGTGATTCGTCAAGCTGAAGTGACGTCGAACTGGCATGCGATATATCGCATCAATTAGGTCAAAAATCTTGGCAGATTTTGAAATTGTAACAAAACAAAGGACGATAGCCCCTGCACATAAACTTAAAGAATCATTCGAAACCTAAAAATCGGCAAAATTCAGAGAAATTAAAGCGGAATAGTGTTAGGAAACAAACCTATACAGAAATCGATAGCTGAATCAAATGGGAGGTTTTTTCCTAACACTACCTCCAACTCCCCCAATTATGCCAATTTTCGGGTTTAGAATGATTCTTCAGGCTCATGCGCAGGGGCTATCGTCCTTTGTTTTGCTAAAAATTCTAAATCTGTGGAGATATTTGACCTAAAAGATGTGATATATCGCATACCAATTCGACCACTTCTCTTGAGGTCGACGAATCACCTTAAGCTTTGAAATTGTCAAGAGGGGAGCAGACAAAGAATGTAACGGTCATTAAATTCTGCGAGTACTGAAACCACAACAAAATAGAACTCAATAAATAGGAAAGATGGAGTACGGCCAAAGTTATTAACTTTCGAAGTTATATCAAGCTACTGTAAATTTATTAAAAAGCAATTTCCATCAAAAGAGGATTAAGTAATTCCTTTTAAGACGAGATATTAATGACAACCTGCAGCCATTCACAGCCTATACCAGTACTATGACAGTACTAGTTTTAATAGTGAAGTATCAAATATTTGAAACAGAGGAAGGGCTGTGTTTTTAATTTACATTTAGATCATTTCTGCCTGACTGTGGGTGGACCATCTCATCTCATCAACTGAGAAAATAATTTCAGGTAATTAAATAAAAAAAGCGTCAATGAATGTTGAGCTAAGCGATCAAGCATCCAGAATTTAGTCGTTTTTGACGGAGAGCTGTATGACACCAAGACCAGAATTCCTGGAAAGAGAAAAAAGCCTCGGATTCCAATGGAAACTTACGAAATGATTCTGGAAGATTTATACTAAGGAGGGGCTGTTCATGCATGGATATGAATTCTCGGAGTATTCATACATTAATCAAATACTTTACCATTCTTTGGAGGGCAAAACTCTAATGCATAATATTTTATTTTAGTAAGGACTTTCATTTTTAATGAATCTGTTGTCTCTTACCTCCTTTTCTTTGCTTTTGCTTTTCAGTTTGTAGATAATGATTTATTCTTAGTGTCATCATCTCTTGGCTCTGTGAGACTATGGAAGGTTTTCGAGAGTAAAATCACCCGGGTTACAGAATTGAAAGAAATAACTGCTTGGAAAAACATTCATTACTTTCAGTAAGTTGATTTCTTTTGTCGTAACAATATTAAAAAGGGAAACAGAAAAAGAAATACCCTAAATAGATATGAGAAGGATACAAAGAATTCACTAGAAGTTTGCAGGGGTTCCATTAAAAGTTGTAGGGCAATAAGTTCCGCCTCCCGTATGTCCTGGCAATAAGTTCCGACTCCCGTATGTCCTGGCAAAAAGGCAAAAGGAAGGTAAGGTCTGGTGGAAAGTGAAATTTCGCATTATAAAATTTCTTTTTGTTAAGAAAAAAAGAGGATCATAAAAAGCTTAGTAGGAATGCATGTCTTGTTACAGAAAACGCTGATGCGTTGCCTCTTTTGTTTCAACAAGAAAGAAAAATAAGACATTACATAAAACAAAAACATACATAAAAATAAGAAATTTAAGGGACTGTACAGTTTCTTTTTTTATTAAAATGTTTGTTACAACAGATTTCGGTATACAGAGTGAGCACCACACAAGAAGAAGATATTCTCTCTCAGAGGCTACTAATGTTCGCCCAGCAAATCAGCTGAAAAAAAAAGTAAAGGATATGGCATTGTTACTGGCGTAATCAATATTTTTATTAAATAGCCATTGCATCTAATGAATTTAATTAAAAAAAGGGTTTACAGTTCAGTGTTTTGAATCTGCTCAAGACCTAAATTGGACTGTGTTTTTTAGAAAGGAACCAAACCAAAACAGCCATTGCCAAATTGAACCAGGCATTTTAATTTTTTAATGAAAGAACGTTAATGCGGATTCCTTTAAAAATGTTGAAGGATTGCCTCATATTATGCAAAAATTCAGTGAAATTTTAACACGGTCTAAATCGCTCTGATATTGAAGCTACATATTTACCAAGAGCTTCCCATCACTTACGAGAGAATCTAATTCAACATTAAAAAAATATTAACTTTTCTACCACTTCTTGTAATATTTAAATTATAAATATTTTTTTCTCTGGTGATTTTCTGTCTTTATTAAGTGTTTAAAATGTTTTTCTTTAGAAATGGTGAACGAAGCTCTTGCAATGGCATTGCATGTTACGAAAATGATGCTGTAACTATTGGAGAGGATGGCAGGATCAATGTTCTCTCAGTGAGTGAAGCGGAGCCTGTTCGTTGCATAGGTATTTTATCTCGCATTTTCAATGAAAATTCCATTTATTGTCCACTTGTCGTTTTGTCACATATCCGCTGCCATGCCAGGGAAAGACATCTTATGAACATTTGAGAGTTGCCAAATTTCCCGGAATTAAACATGTAGTTTTTTTAGGCAAGTCATTCATATCTTCCCTCGAAATTATCAGATATTTTAGATCAAATTGGTACTTAACAAAAATTCTCTAAAAATTTGAAGGGAAAATTTTCATAGGTTTCTCAGAAAATTTGTATTTTATTCAAGCTTTGGCAACTGCTGAAGGCTCATATGGGTAATTCTGCGAAAACTGTCCAATTTGACCTCCCAAAAACTAAAAATGCAACTATGTTATTTTGGATTGAGAGTTTTTTTTCTTAGTTCAGCATAGTATCAGGCTTAAAAATTCTATACGAGTACCTTTTTTTATTAGGCATTCCTTTTTTTTTTATGAGAAATTGTTTTAAAAATAGGTCCCGGATGTCACGACCGTTACATCCATTATTTTGGTCCATCAGAAAGAGAAAAATGGTCAAATATGCAGTTTTATTTTATTTTTATTTTTTTATACTGTTAGGTCCTATGAAGGAGTGAAACATTGAAACATATACCCAGTGTATATGATTATCATAAAATAGCAAGTGTTTTCTAATTTTTGCAGATTTTTCAGCTTTTTTCTCGGAAAACAAAAAAATGTTTCTTGATTTCAGGATAAAATATCTACATATTTGTTTTTTTCTTAAATATCTGAACCTACGCCTCCAAAAAATCTTATACATTGTTCAAAATTTATGAACATTAAAAATTGGCAGTTGTTTCACAACTCTGAAAAAAGTAACAGCGTGACATTTTAAGCAGTAAAAGCAGAAAATGAAGCTCTATCCATCAATTTATACAACTGTAATGGTTATAATTCGTTAAAAACACTCATTTTCCGTCACATTTGATGAAATGTGAAACTTTTTATCACACATTTTACAATTAAAACGAGCATGACTGGAATTGGACAGTTTTCGTAGAATTGTCCATATAGCGTTCTTCCTTAGGATGGTAGTATATTCCAATTTTTATTCTCCAAATTTAGGTTTCACACTTGTATTTTAAGCTAGCCTATTCCATTACTGGCCTCTAAATGCTTTCTTGCAAGTGTAAGATAAGGCAAGCCGTTACTTACCAAGGCCCCCCTCTGTTGTACTCATGCCATCAAAGGTCAGCCAGGTCATGTTTGAGTGAGGAACAAGATTTCAAAAACCTGCAGCTAGTATAATTTTGCATGTAAACAGATATGACAATACAATTGAATTAAATTCAGACGGGAATCAGCGTGATTACAATGTTGTAAAAATTGTGCATCTCTACCCGCATCTAAAAAAAGCTCAGAATAGTAGGTAGTTTTCATGTGTTCATAAAAAAGTTGTTAATTTCAAAGAATTTCAACGGTCTGAATGTTATTACTGTACGTATTTGTTAACTGCCTCCTTCTAAATGCAATCCAATTGTGGTTTTGAATGCAAACCACAATTGTTGTAAACACAAAGTTGAAGTTTTTAAAAGTTGCAGGCTATTGTTCATTATTACGATTTACAATCACAAACTGACTGAATGGAGAATGTACAATTGTACATCAAGTAATTTAAGGTTTCTGTACAGCAAAGATGTTCAACTAGAGAAGTTTTAATCTTGGTCCTCAAACTTTATTTTCCATTGTTTGGTCAATGAATGATCCCTCTTTTACCTTGTCCTCTGGATCGATTAGTGTAGGATTTAGAAAAGCTAATAACCGATAAATACTGGGATTTATCAAGGAATACAAGGTACAAATTTAAGCATTCTGATACTTGTTTTCTCTTAAAAATGTTACGTAACTAAAGATAGGTAATCTTTTATCTTTTTTTCAGATGAAGCAGATAGTTGCTCAATGCAATGTGTCTGTTTCTTAAAACACAATGAGATCATGGCAGGAAACCTAAGGGGCCAAATGAAGATATGGGACTTGCGAAGTCCTCTTCTCCAGCCAAGCATGACATTTTTAGTAAGCGGAGAGCCCATAGCAGCAACTTGTCTAACAGTTCATCCATCGCAGAAACACATAGTATTTGCAGGAGGAGAAGATGGCTTCATTACAATTTGGGATTTACGGCAGGGCACTTCACCTGTGACCCTCTTAGAAGCCCATAGCAGCTCAGGTATTTTAATTTTTAATAATTGTGTGAAAGAGGAGGATCAACTCAAAGAACTGTCCAAGAAATCTGTAAAGTGAGCTATTAAAAAATTTTAGGCATGAGGTACAAGCAAAGCCATATCACATGCACAAGAAACTTAGCACTAACCTAGGTGTATCCCTAGTAAAAAAGGAAGAATGAAAAGAAACGTACTTTTTGCCAGTAACGTGGCATCGAGCTTAGTAACAACTTTTTTAATTGAACATACATAGCAAATAAGAAACGAAAGAAGAAAAGGAACAAAGGAATTTTGATCAACTCATCAGCTAAACTACGAATGCATCATTTAAAAAATGACTTATGCCAAGAATTTTGTATGTATACATAATTCATGGGATCCAACAATGGATATGATTGTTTTGTCTCGTACAGAAAGTCTTACCAATTAATTTACAAGAAAAATTTGTGAAACATAAGATACGTAAAAACATCCGAGAAGTGTTGGTTATTACTACTTACTTATACAGATCGTTCCGTGTAAAAACATTTGAACGATGACACCGCTTCTCATGTGGCACTGATGCAACTGGGAGGGGTATTGAACTTATAGCATGTGAGGTAAAATTATAGAGAATAAAAGAATAAGAATATATGAATGTTTCCAACAGTTATCGAAATCTTTGTACAGTTCGTTACAACTCGAGGTTACAATCTGAATGATCCAACCTTCTAAAACTATTTTAGAGCCTTTAAAATGCAATTTTTTGGAAAATAATTATTTTCTTTGTGAGAATAAAGCATTCTATCTGAAATGAAAAGCAATCTGTTTGCCAATACTGCCAGGCCGAGAAAAAACGCCGCATAAACATTCGAATATTGCTAAATTTTCTCCTATAAAATGTTTATTTTTGAGGAAAGTTATTTCTATTTTCCCTTGAATTTTGCAGGAACTTAAGGTGAAATTGCAATCAAAATTATCTGAAAAAATTTGAAGAAAAATATTCCCTAAGTTTACCAAGAAATTCGTGTTTTATGAAGGAAAATTTGGCAACGCTCGAAGGTTCACCCGATGTTTTTCCTCGGCATAGCAGAAAATTATCTTCTTCTTTCATGTGGAAAAAAAATGAAATGAAGTAATCCTGAAAATCTTCACTACTGTTACACTAGCAATGACCTCTGATATCCCTGAATATAATATGTGCATGACCAAGTATGATTTGTTTTTTGCAGTGAACGAGTTAATGTTCCATCCTGATCGACCCGAGCATTTTATGTCCTGTTCTGCAAATGGAGATATGTGGCATTGGAACTCAAAGACTTCACTGAAAGATTCTGTTTTAGGCAAGTAGTCAGTGGTAATTCTGGGCTCGAGAAAATAATGTTTTCAGATCTCTACGTATAATTTTAATAAAACTATCAAATTTTTCTTAAAGCGGTAAAAGCTGTTGTATTGAAACTTTGAAATATCTAAAAACTCACACGTTCACTTGGAGATTATTTAGTGGACGCGTTTCGGTGACCCGGGTAGCCACCGAAACGCGTCCAATAAAAAATCTCCAAGTGAAAGCGTGAGTTTTTAAATATTTCAAAGTTTTAATCTCTGTGTATGTTCTAAAAAAAAAATCAAAACTTATTACAGAGAACATGACTGTTCTTTTTTATTTAAGCTGAAAAAGCGGTAGGTTTTACAATTTGAAAAAGCTGTAAGTGATGCACTCATGAATTCATGTGTTCCACCAGAGATGTGTAGCCTGTTGGAAAAATGACACGGCCACTTTTATGCTGTTTCTTGAAGCAATTCTTTTGGCAATGGGTGTCTACCCAAGTGTCACCACACAAAATTTCATGAGCTCATCTTGGTCAGGGTATATGGCGGTCTGAAAAACGAGGAAAAGTCAGGGAGTTGGTAGAATAAAGTCAAAAAATTTCGCGATTAAAGTGTCAACTCGAGAATAATTCCAGCTAGTACTAATGTCCACCAGGAACTTTCTTGAATCTCTACAAGTGGAAATTTTTTTCTTAAGTTTAAAAAAAGTTCAAGTTTTTTTGAAGAAAAAAAGGTTGAATGGAAGTATTATCCGAAGGTAAGGAAAAATCTAGGAATTTGAATATGAAGAAATAATGAAAATTCTGTCAACTTTCAAGGGAAATGTTAGATGTCAGGGTGTCTACAAGTCTGGAATTTCTGGTAAGTCCGGAAAAAGTACTGATTTTTTAAGGGCGTTCAGGAAGTACTGAAAAAGTGCGGAAATTCCGCAAGGAGGTCCGGAATTTAATTCATTTCTGAGGGAGAAATTCAAATTTTTGAAATTTTTCGAATTTTGTCAAATGGAGGTATTGAAAAAGTACTGAATTTCTTGGGAAAGCGCTGTAAAAGTACTAATTTTTGGCCAGCCTGTTTAGTAGACATCCTGGATGTTCTCTGAAGAAAGGAAGCCTCTATATAATAGCATACGCAATGCATCAATAAGCTGGCACAGTAATTTTAAATGGCCGCATGTTTTAAAAACAGCAACTGCACTAAGTTCACAGAATTTTTTTTGGATCTCTTAGAAGCATAATCCACAAAGAACTAAGTCAAAGTGTGTATTTTGAGCCTCCATTTAAATGCGCATTGCTGAGGAAGCCAAGATGGCATCCAAAAATTTCTTTGCAGCCGCAGACACTGTTTTATCTGTGCAATTCCTCTGCTGCAATCTATGGTCTGTGCAGTAACCCATTGATAATGGCTACATGGACCCTAAATCAAAGCAGAAGAGCTGTACAGTCGGAACGGCACCTGCAGCTTGGAGGATGTCTCTGAATGTGTCTTGGCTTTCTTGGCTGTGTGTGTTTGAATGGAGGCTCAAAATTCTTAACTTCAATTTTGCGGGTTGATACCGCTCCAAAAAAAAAAAAAAAAATATATGTCTGAAAGCTAAGTACAGTCCCTACTTTCCAAAAATGCAATCATTAAAAATTACTGAACAAGCTCATCAATTCGTCTCAAAAGTGTTGTGATTAGAAGATAGATTTTGCAACATTTGTGGCCCATTGCTGTTTTGGTACAATACCATCATGTACTTAAGTTATCAATAGTATTAGACTTTTAAAGGTAGAAGTTCACAAACATGCAATGTGATCATTAAATAGATTGAATTTTGCAAAGGAACTAAGAGCATTCCAGTGTTGCTAGGATTGTGCAACTTACATTATTTTCAATAAAATTACTGAAATCATGCAAAAATGTTTACAATGGTAATTTTTGTCTTGAATCTATAGTCTATTGAAGGTTAAGATAAAACTTATTTAGATGATCAGTTTATATTTGCAAAGTGAAAAAAGTTGCACAATCTTATCGACATTGGAAGGCTCTTGATCCCTTTTTGCATAATGCAATTCAAATATCATGCTCTTAATGAATTTCTATTGAAAAATATAAAATTGGAGTGCAAAGTTTTGGAACATAATCAGAAGTCAAGTCAGTCTCAGTATTGATCTAAGAAGAGATACCGAAGCACTACTGAAGGTTTCTTGTTTTAGTTTTTGCCTAATTTTTTATGTGGTTTATGAAATCGCAATTTGATCTTGTTTTTAATGCTTCCTTTTGTCTTATTTTTTAGATAGTACCTATGTTGACATTCCCTGGCTGAGCAGCACTGCAGTCAAAAAACAAGTCGAAATTGTTCCCCTGATGCAATCGCTACCTCTACCTGTGAATTCATTCGATTTATCTAAAAATAGATTAATTTTAGCCAGTGATAATGAAGCTATCTATATTCATAAGAACTTGAGAATTTAACCGCAAGTACCCTCTACTTTTTTGTACTGTACATAGTTTTAAATTTTTTGAAACCAGGTATATCCAAGAGTTGGTAACTTCTTCCAATCTCAGAGAATACAAAGATTCCACAAATTTTATGGAAACAGTTTCAGAAACTTTCAATCTCAGAAAATGCAAAAATTCCACATTTCAGGAAAACAATTTCAGATTTTAGCTGTAAATAGTTCATAATATCTCAAAGAAGAAGAAATTTGGAAGTATTCTGAGAAAATTTCAAGAAATGGAAGAAAAAACCCACTTTTCTACGAAATTTCTTCAATAATGAAGCTGCATTTATGGAACTGGAAAGCTTTACTTCTCCAAAGACATGAATCTTTGATTATTATTGAAAGTTCCATCCATCTATGAATGATCCTATTTTTAATATTGGAAATTCATGGCAAGGTAGACTAACAAAATGTTCTAGTTTATTTTCTATTTTTTCATCCCAAAACTAAATTGTTGCTAAGCGAAAAGGACTTCGCACACTCCTTATGGGATTGTGCACCACAATCGATTACTGATTTTTTTATTGCATTAAATTCGTTGTTGCATGCTGATCAAAAGTCATCATTGCAGCAACTTTCTATGAGCCACCGTTTTCGCAGTATTTCGCACAGTCAGCTGAGAAAGTGGTGGAATTTTCGATTGTTACTTGTGTAAGTGAAGGTAGCGAGGCGATATCTATTTTAAAACAAGGAGAACCTGGCAGTCTTATCTCGGATTCCGTGCGCCTTTTCGTTTCACCATCCAAATCAGATTCCTTCTCTCTCCTACTCTTTTCCTCACCTATCACTGGCTTGGGTTTTCCTTTTTAAATCGCCGTGCTGGCCTCACTTATTCATGTAACTATCAAAACTTCCGGCGCAGACTGTGCGAAAACACTGCAAAAACAGTGCCTCGTAGAAAGTTGGTGCAATGATGACTTTTGATCAGCGTTCAAAAATGAATTTAATGCAATAAAAAATTTTGAAATCGATTGAGGTGTACAATTCCATGAGGGATGTGCGGGGTCCTTTCCCTCAATGCAATTCTCTATCATTACTTTAATTATATATCTTTGTGAAGCTGTAAAATGAAATTTTCAACCATGTTTAGTCTAATGCATTTAAAATGCTGAAAAAGAAGAATGCTAAGTCACCTTTAATAAACCTCATGTGTTTTCAAAAGAAGTTCCTCCTTTTTTTTACAAAAAACCCATCAGGCATTTTAGAATGGTCAGCAGGCCGATCATCAGAATTTTGTCAGCACGACCTGACAAGACAACGCCCTATCCTAACCACACAATATATGGCATTTCAATGTCTTATCGGGCTAATCTAAACTGTCAACAATCGGCCTGCAGGACTCATCCTTTTTTCATTAGTAAGACCATTTACTTTCATTTTTATGACCAACGATTCTTTTGTCACAGTGCGACATATTTTTGCCCTTAGTGTGCTCAAGTAGTCTTTCTGTTCTCTATCCCATTGAAGTTCTGAGAATTGCAGTCACTTCAGTGCTATCATATAATGAGTAATCAGTATCCGTAAGTGCCGTAGAAAATGCCAATACTGTAAATACATGTTCTTTCAGGTCGAAAAAGACCAAACATATTTCATTTTAATCTTTTACATCGCACACTTGGCAGCAGCATTGCCATATGACGTCGATATTACTCTCCCTGGCAATTAATCAGACTTAAAAATTAAATCTCAAACCTGTAAATGGCAACCTTAATGGTGAAGAGAAGGTTCAAAACGCTAATTACGACAATTCGTATCTCGTGATGGTAAGTCATTTTCCAATCATGCCATTCTTGATCTGGCTATATGAGATCAAACTAAAGCTTATCTGGTAAGAAATTGTAAGCGTGAAACTCTTTTTTCAGTTTTGATCCAAATTGCAAAAATACGTATCCCATGATGAAGTGTCAATTCTTAGTGCGCCAAAAACGCAAATCTCGGCATTTCTGCCGTATTTTCTAACAGTTCGAAAAATTATTTAAAATGCTGATGGAGTCTGAAAACACATCTTATTCGTGCTTTTCTCAAGAATCATTATCCTTCTCCTAACAATAAAGAGGAAGGTAGACATTTTTTTTACTCTCCTGGAAAATCATGTTTTCCAAGATACGCACCTCTGCACTTTTTCCATCAATATAGCAAAATAAGATGAGAGAAAAAATGCGGGAAATTCATGAATGAACAAAAAAAAGAGAAAGTATAAGAGAGGGTAAAGGAAGGTCCTCATACGCATGATAGTGGTGAATAGAGGTCCCGGAAATATAAATCGAATTTAAGTCCCCAGAGGCGCCTGGGCCTGGACCTACAAAAATACCGATTTTTTTTTTTAAATTTATTTTTTGAATTCAGATTTTGTATCCGTAGCTCAATATTTTGAAGAGGAGAATGTGAAAAATTGGGACATGCTAGTTTAATCAAGCTGTAATAAATGAAAATTACTTCACTCATTAGCAGACATGGATTAAATAAAGGCATTACCTACGCTATTACGCTTTACGCTTTTAGCTTTCACTAGCTATTACGCGAAAAGTTGGTCATTCTTTGTCGTAAAATTAGCTTTGAGGCATTAAACATTTTTGTCGATTATAGTTTTCAAAAAGGGGATGATAAGCGTCATTAAGTGAGAAAATCAAAATAGCTCTCGAACTTTTGTCAAGTGTCAAAATACCTATGCGTAAAATTTCTAAGATCGGTAAAAAATTATTTTCTTCGAAATTTTCACTTTTTTGGTAACATACAGACACTTTAGTACCCCCCCCCCCCTCTTCTTCCTCTATAATCGATTAGGGAACATCCTATTTACGGTTGTGTTGCTCACGTAGCCCTTGAAGCACCACTACAAATGAGACAAGCGAAACTGACACAATATGGAAGTAGAGCGAATGGAAAGACGGCGCAGAGATACAACTTTTCGTGCTTTATGGATGTCTGTGTTGCATCTGTAAAATTGAAGGCGCGATGGCGCGAGCTATGAATTCGCTATGTTCCGTGCTGCCAATGAGGTGTCGTGAGAAAATTAAGATACGAGGTTCGATTATTACGGCTCTCCTTTTTAAGGCTGTGTTGCTTATACAATATTTAAAGCACCACTACAAATACAAATAAGACAAACTGAAACAAACACAGTATGGAAATAGAGCAAAGAAAAAGGAGGCGCGTTGATGACGGCGCAGAGATACCTACAACTATTCGTACACGATGGATGTCCGCGTTGCATCTGCAAAATTGAAGGCGAGATGGCGCTAGGCGTGAACTTGCCAACTCACCATGCTCGGGTCTATGCTGCCAGTGAGGTGTCACTCAAATTCGAGAGACTAATTTAAAAACTAGGCCCGATTACGTCTCGACTCTGTTGTTCCTCAAGTTTTTCTTTTTTTTCTGATTTTAAGTTTGATTCTTTTATTAATGCACAAATTTTACAGATATACATCTGGGTACGGCTCGCATGTGCCGCGGCCCCTTACAACTCGCGTGGCACGTTTTTTAAACAAGTCTCCTGTCAATTTGACCGGGCTTCAGTACCTAAGGGTTAATGCAAATATCATCATCAATATCATTCAAATCAAATATCAACAGGGTCGGACTGCCTCGCATCAGAGGGCGTATACCCTTGGCTGGCTAAAGGGGCGTAATGTGATATTTCCTGGTAGGGTATCCCCTACGTGGAAAGGGGTTCAGAAAATTTTGGCAAAGCAGCACAAGTTTACGCTATTTTCAGGTTTAATCTTACAGAGTAAAAATTGCAAATTTGAACATATTTAAGTAACCGACAGACTTCTGAAATTAAAGAAAACATAAAAAATTGAAGCCACTAGACGCCATTATTTCCATACCATGTACCATTATTTCCGAAAGAATCAAGCCAGTGCTGCGGTTTATACGAGCTTAAGACGTGGATCTGCAAATCCATCCTAAAAAGAATCAGACAAGAACCTGAAATAAGAAGAAACAACGAGTATCAACACAGCCTAAGACAGGAAAGACGTATTCGGGCCTCTTTTTTATCTTTTCTCCCGAATCTGAGCGACTCCTCTTTAACAGCATATAGCAGAGCATTGAGAGCTCACGCATCGCGCCATCGCGCCTTCAATTTTTCAGATGCAGCACGGACGTCCATCAAGTACGAATAGTTGTATCTCTGCGCCGTCGTTAACGGTCATGCTTTCCTTTCCTCTGTTTCCATATCGTGTTTGTTTCCGTTTGTCCTATTCGTAATGGTGCTTCAAGCACGACGTGAGTAACACAGCCGCAGGTAGGAGAGACGTATTTGGGCCTCTTTTTTTTACTTTTCTCCCGAATCTGAGCGACACCTCATTAACAGCACAAAGCAGAGCATTGAGAGCTCACGCTTCGCGTCATCGCGCCTTCAATTTTTCAGATGCAGCACGGACGTCCATCAAGTACGAATAGTTGTATCTCTGCGCCGTCGTTAATGGTCATGCTTTCCTTTCCTCTGTTTCCATATCGTGTTTGTTTCCGTTTGTCCTATTCGTAATGGTGCTTCAAGCACGACGTGAGTAACACAGCCGCAGGTAGGAGAGACGTATTTGGGCCTCTTTTTTTTACTTTTCTCCCGAATCTGAGCGACACCTCATTAACAGCACAAAGCAGAGCATTGAGAGCTCACGCTTCGCGTCATCGCGCCTTCAATTTTTCAGATGCAGCACGGACGTCCATCAAGTACGAATAGTTGTACCTCTGCGCCGTCGTAAACGCTCATCCTTGCCCTCGCTTTTTTACCCTAATGTGTTTTTTTCGCGCTCTTCATATTCGTAATGGTGCTTCAAACTAATAGCATAGAGCCGAGTATTGCGAGTTCACGACTCACGCCATCGCGTCTTACATTTTTCATATGCAATGTGGACATCCATCTTGCGCGAACAGTTTTATCGCATTTACACTGTAGTTGTCTCCTATTTTTGAATTTCGAGATAAATTAAGGTTAAGTTTGCCCGAGATATGCTATGTTATGTCCAAATCAATATTCATTTTGAAAAGGAAGAAATATGTTTAAAGATCTCTCAAGAATTCTATAAAGGGTGCGTATGTCTGAAAATCGAACCGACCATCGCTTCTAAGGGCACACATGGCGAATGAAGGAGGGGGATGATAAAGCTCCTATATGTCAAAAAAAAGGTGAAAATTTCACAGAAAAGTGTTTACGCTTCAGGAAGTAGTGATTGGACCTTTGTTCACCACTATCATACGTAAAAGCACCTTTCTTTACTCCTAACTTTCTCTTCTTCATTTTTTCATTTAAGAAATTTTCCGCATATATTCTCGGTCGTAAATTTTTTTCTCCTCTTATTTTGCTATCTGTCAGAGGGGCGCGTTCTCGGCGCGCCAAGGGGGCGCATCTGCCAATGGCAGATTGACCTTATGGCCAGTCCGAGCCTGATATTATATCAATATAAGACTTCACCTTGTTCGCTAAATACTCAGGATTCAAGAGGGGAGCCAAAAGAAGCCATTCCTTTCACAATCAGTCAGTGAATTTCAATAAAGGCAACCGCCAAGATGTCAACATTTATAATTAAAGTATTCCGACTTCCAAGTCGTTTGAATTGCATAACCATTGCAATGAAGGAGCACTCAACTTTGGTGGTACGAGTTTAAAAGAGAGGAACACAGTTTTTAGAGCATGATAAAATATGAGAAAAAAGGATTACGAAAAATAGATTGATATTTATAACACCATCGACAAAAGCATCATGACCTATGGCAGTGAAGTATAATCCATGAAAGAGCACTTCTACACCGGAAGAAAATAGTATCTTGGATCAGAGTCCAGACTCTGAAAAAAGACAAGGAAAAATATTTTAGATTTAATCGGATTTTTGCTGGAATCAAATGGGAATCAGCTTAAATTAACAGGCTCGCAATATCACAAACCGCTATGCATGATTGAGGAGTTTCACAGTCGATATTTAAGACGAGACAGACAATGAGATGAACATCGCGTAACTTCATGTGACGTGGTGAATCCGCTGAAAAAATCGCGTGTTTCTTTTTCTTTTTCTAATTTCTCACTCTTTTACAAGACTGAATTATAAATGCAGGTACGTTGAAACGTACTTTCGCATCGTTAAATGAGGAAATCAAGCCCGCAACTATTCGAACTCCGGAGTCGGTATGTGGTATGACTCAAAAATAAAGGAAAATCGTAG